AAATTAATGATGGGTATGAACAAAATGGGAAATTAACCATTAGTTTTTGTGAGAGTTGGGAAAATTTCAGAACCTGGAAATTGCATGAAAAAGTGCAGGTGCTTAATTATTGAAAATCCTGATATCAGCCATTGCCGCCTCTTTCATCTAGATGAGGGGGCCCTGATGTCAACAATAAACATTTAAAGGCTATTGAAATTTTTTATTGAACTGATGTATTACTATACTCTTCTCTAGCCTTGGGTCATGAATTCATTGAAGTTTGGCCTTGGGTTAAGAAGCAATAGAAGTTGTTTTCTTCTGTGAGCTCCCTACTTTTGACTTCTCCTCCACAGCTTACTTCATTTGATATTTTTCAATTATTATTATAATTCATTTGATTTTTAAACATGACGTATTGGTCCTAATTAGGTTATATGTGAGAACAATACCTCCTGGTTTTAACTATCAACGAACAAGAGTTGATTGACATTGCATTTGGTCTATAGGTATTGAGTGACATTTCATTTTTGCTACTAATCTCCTCATCAATGCTAGCAAGTCAAATTTGCTGCTGGAAACCTCAGCAGCTACCAACTTGCTTATGTTCTGTAGAGTTTTGGTGAATCCCTTTCACCTATTTAATAACTATATCGCATAGAATGGACATAAGCACGAGGAAGACAAGGGTACGCAAAACATAAACTACAAGTATAATATATAGCCAATGACATCATTACCAATAATTGACACATTACATTCTTTAGTTAAGCATTTCTTGGATGTGAGGTGATGACACATATGAATTTGTACACCACAAGTTAGTACTTTGACAATCCTTGAGAATGATTATTCTGTTTAGAAATATACTTGGTAATGGAATTCATAAATTTCCAAGGTGATTAGTTTTGTGTTGTATTATCTTTTACGCAATGGAAAATGGTGGTTGTTTTATTCTTGAGGTACTATTTTGATGCTCAAGAGAATGACACAAATGTTGTTTTCCGATGAATTTGAAATTGAGACCCTTAAATCATTTTCAATAATAATATGAAATTGCTATAATATAATTGGCATGATTTGATGGGAAATCATAAATTAGCTAGCTTTACTGTAACATGCTCCATAAACCCTATTTGCATCTGAAAGGTTGCCGCCATTTTCTTTTCTTTCAATTTAATGTCATTTTCATGTCCTACAACTCCAGCTTTTACCTAAACTAGTTCTTGTGCACGTGCATTGCACGTGATTAAATATCAAAATTATTATTATTTTGTTTATTTTCTTACTATAAAATAAGTCAGATTCATTTTGAATTAAAATCTATAAACATGGTTTGTTGCATTTTTCATAAATTTTATTTAAATATTTTTAAATATTTTATGAAATAGATGATTAATTTTGAAAATATCTTCGGGCCAGGAATAAATAACTAACAAGTTTGCAAGGGAATATCGGGTAACATAGTACATTCTTAAAAATTATTAATCTTTATTTAGTTTGTTTATAATGATAGGATCTCATTAATTATTAATCTTTATTTAGTTTGTTTATAATGATAGGATCTCATTATTAACTAACTACAATGCTTAGTACATTATTTTTTTGTTGGATGCTCAAGGCAGGCAAAGAACCCATGTGAGTCCTCATCGCAATGAATGTTATACAATTTAAGTACAAAGAAGGTGGAGAATAGTGTAGTTTGTGAGGGAAAACTCCAGCAGCTTAATTTGATATGTGGATATATAATAGATGGAGATGGAGAATGGTGGTTTTGAAAATAGTGGGTGTGTGTAGGTAATTAATATGTTCTTTTGTGGTTTTCTTCGTTCATTTTTAAGATATCTGTAGTCTTGTGGATATATATATATATATATATATATTGGTGTGTTTAGGTTTAAGAACGTGTAGATCAAGTTACGGAGCAGATCGCAAAAAAAAAAATTTAGAAAATGATGTGATTCTAGGCCGCGTCCTTAGGTGGGAGCCTAGGGTATCACCTTAGATTCACTTTTCCATATATATATATATATATATATATATATATAGCATTGCTACTCTCTTTTGGTTTTGTGGAAGTGTTTGGGTGTTAAAAAAATTAAATTATCTAATCCGATTAAAGTAGGATTATATAAGTTAAGCCCATACATGAAATATATTTTAACCAACACCCATGTGTAAATATTACAATTGGTATCGAGATTTAAGATATGTGTGAGATTATCTTTGATTTCTATACAAACGGTATCTATTTAAAGGCATAGATAATAGTATAATTAAACTTTGTGATCTAATAAAACATACAATATAAGTAATTGCTTTAAAATAATCTAATCTAATCTAATACGAAGAAAATAGATGAAAATGATGTGAAAATTGTTGCAATTTTATAATTCATAATTTTTAAAAATCTAATCTAATCTAATCTAATAAGAAGAAAATAACAAAATCACATATATGTTGAAGGAGATAAAAGTGCTATGAAAATTATTGTAATTTCTAATATGAAAAAAATCAAACATATAATATAATTAATTGCTTTAAAATAATCTAATCTAATCTAATAAGAAGAAAATAGATGTAAGTGCTGTAAATTTTTTTGATATTTCTTGATATAAAAAAAATCAAATATAGAATATAATTAATTGCTTTAAAATAATCTAATCTAATCTAATAAGAAGAAAATAAGAAAGACAAAAACATGTAGAAGGAGATAAAAGTGCTACGAAAATTATTGTAGTTTCTTGGCATATAAACATTGGTATGTGATGTTGCATGTGAGAGAAAAATAATTGTAAATAGAGAGTTTCTTGGCATATAAACATTGGTATGTGATGTTGCATGTGAGAGAAAAATAATTGTAAATAGAGTTCTATTTAAATAATAATAGTATAATTGCATGTGAGAGAAAAATAATTGTAAATAGAGTTCTATTTAAATAATAATAGTATAATTAAACTTTGAAAGTAATTATGTAGTGTCGTGAACTACTTGAATTTTAGTTGGCGAGAGATCGTCACGTTGTGTCCTCATATCACAACAGTTTATTTTAATTTCCCTTTTTTATAATTTTCAAAATGATTTTGTCTCTTTAATTTGTTTGGTAGATTTTGCAAATACTTCGTCCACATTATGTACATTTGTAGGTCTGTGTTGTTTTGGGGTTCGACCTATGCAGCGGACATTAATTAACTCACTAATTTGTTTGGTTTTTGCATATACGCCATTCATCTTCATTCATCTTGTATATATTTATAAATTTGACATTTAATAAATTCATTTAGGTTTACATTTTAATTTAAACTATATCATTATCTTCATACTATGTATATCCAATAAGAATTCATCAATTTATCAACTTACTCTTACTTAATGGATTAATTTGAATTTTAATGGTTTTTTTGTCTATCAAAAGATTTTCCCGAACTCGTGCTTTTAAAGAGAGTATGATTGATTTGACCTAGTATTTGTTATGTGAAGAGTGGGAGATCGAGGGGGGACCTGGGAAGGAGATTATACACGAAGTGAAATTAAACAAATGGACGTTGGAGGGGTTTGTGATAATTTGTTGGATGTATCAAGAGGAGCTCACTTGTCAAAAGTGTTAATGCACGAAAAGAAGCTTTCCAAACTGCTAGTTTTCTTCTTTATGAAATGTTTCCATTAGAAGAACATCAAATTTTCACTCCTTAGAATACCTAAGTTTT